CTGACAGGACCTAGAAAGCGAGAGCATATTTCTCCTATGTTGACTTCTCTTCATTGGCTCCCTATTAAGTCCAGAATCAAATTTAAAATCCTACTTGTTGTTCCTAGAGTATTTAAAGTAGAATGGGAGGCAGAGCCTTCAGTTTTCAGGCCCCTCTTCTGTGGAACCAGCTTCCAGTAGGAGACAGACACTATCTCTACTTTCAAGATCAGGCTTCAAACTTTCCTTTTTGCTAAAGCATATAGTTAGGGCTGGACCAGGTGACCCTGAATCCTCCCTTAGTTACTCTGCAGTGGGTCTAGGCTGCTGAGAGATTCCCATGATGCACTGGGTGTTTCTTCTACAGTCACCTTTCTCACTCACTCTGTGTTTATACACCTTTCTGCTTTCAGTTATTAGTTATTATTCATCTCCGTCTCTCTTCCACAGCATGTCTTTGTCTTGTCTTCCTCCCCTCACCCCGACCGGTCATGGCTCCTCCTGCCTGAGCTGGGGGGGTTTTTTGTTAAAAGAAAGTTCTTACGTCCCACTGTCACCAAAATGTTTTCTTATAAGGGTTCATATGATTGTTGTTTTGAGTTGGTGCTATATAAAGAAATTGAATTGAACTTTTTGTCTTCCAGGCCTTTGTCATCGCTTTCACCTCTGACTTCATCCCTCGGCTTGTCTACCAATACATGTACAGTCCTGACGGCACCTTGCATGGCTTTGTCAACCACACTCTGTCATACTTCAATGTCACTGACTTCGATCCAGGCACAGAACCTCTGCAGCCAATGCACCTGGGCTACAAGGTATCAGTATGCAGGTAAGCTTTTGCTTTCCTAGGGTCTGGAAACTGAGGCTGCTGAAGTCATCAGACGATATTCATATAATGAAGACTCAATATATCCAAACATATTCAAATTTCTCATTTATCTATTATAAAAGCACAACAACAGTTTGAATAAACTTTATGTAAAAAAGCTTTTGTGTTTTTTACTGCTAGATACAAGGACTACAGAGATCCTCCCTGGTCCAGTACGAAATATGAACTTTCCAAGGAATTCTGGGCCATTCTAGCAGCTCGCCTCGCCTTCGTTATTGTTTTTCAGGTTCGGAACAATGCACAGATAAGATCGCACAGAGCAAGCAAACCATTTATGATTTCGTTTATTTCATGAAATAAGTCGTTGATAGAAATCGTCTGAACATAGCCTGTGACATCTCATTTGAAGGTACTCATTTTCTTAACCTGCTGTTTCACAGCCTTAAGTGCACAGTACTCGTCAGTCATAAAACATTAGTATAAAAACAGGAAGTCGAGTTCTACAGTTGACTTATTGAGGTAGCTGTAATTCAGGAGTTAGAGCATATTATCTGCTAATCAGAAGGTCAATCCCTGGCTGCTCCAGTCTGCATGCCAAGACATGGCATCAGACAAGTTCCTCTCCAACGTGTCCATCAGTCTGAAATGTGTGAATGTTAGATAGAAAGCCATTAAGCATAGAAAAGGGTGTATGCAAACCTATATATGAGTAAGTGTGAATGGGGGAATGAGACATGTTGTATAAAGCACGTTGAGTCCTCAGTAGTGTAGAAAAGCACTATATCAGGTCTTATTAGGTGATGAACCTGCTTCCAGGTCCGAACCACTCTGCATTTATTACGGCATTTTTAACCTGTTTTCATGGATGCCTGCATGTTAAACTTCATAGTTACACCTGGTAGAGCAGCGACACTGATCATTTTATTAAAGATCAAAGAATTTACAGTTTTTAACTCAGTGATGCTGCAGTAGTCGTTTGACTTTGGGACCTGAAGCGAATATTTGGACCCGGAAACGTCTGATGACGTCAGACTTAAAGGACTGGATAAGAACCAGTCCATTTATTCCTTTAACCTCCTAAAACCCGAACTCTTCCACGGCAGCATTTTTAATTTCTCTTTGATATTTGGGCTGATTGGGGCCCGATGAATGTAAAAAGAAAGAATTACCTGATTTTTGTTTGTTTTTTTCCTGATTTTTGTTTCTAAGAAAAATGAGAGCCACGTATGAGGATATTCATTTAAATTTTGATAGAACAGTAGCAGCATAACGTCCTCGTAAGTGGATATCAATTAAGTATTTTGGTCTAAATAACCCAAAATGTGATGTCCACATATGTGGACGCAGGTCCTAGGAGGTTAAAACTAATGTTGAGTCTACACAGAGCCATATGAATTATTACGTTCCTGCCATTTTCAGCGATCTTCTCTGAACTTGTTGAACTTATGCTTCTGTAGATTTGAGATTTCTGTAGAGCTCCACTCATATGCTGTCTTCCTCCTCTATCTAAAAGGAGGTAAATGATATAACTATTAGTTGATTTAGCACTCTTTGCTACTTCTGTTGCAGCTGACTTGGATTAATGGTTTATTTATTGCACATTTTATTCTTAATGTAAGAGAAGAAGAAGAAAGGTTCAATCACTAATGAGAATTGTTTTATAATGATCTGTGTTCTCTGTTGACTCTGCCCTTTGCAGAATGTGGTGATGCTTATGAGTGACTTTGTGGACTGGCTTATCCCAGACATTCCTAAGGACATCAGCCTCCAGATCCACAAGGAGAAGATCCTAATGGTGGAGCTCTTTATGAAAGAGGAGCAGGGGAAAAGGTTTGCAGCAAGAGACAACCAAGACAACTGCACAGTTCCTCTGTCAGCTAATCAGAGGCCACCACAGCCACGCTCACGCCCTGTTTCACAGGCAAACTGCTCCTAACCTGTTGGTTGGTGGGAAAAGAATCACAAATGGCAATAAGCAAAACAAATTCTTACTGAGCTGTTAGAGCGGTCTGGTTGAGGTACAAGCTAACTGTGTAAAGTCCACATTAACAGTCAGTTTTGTAATATCAGCAAAGGTTTTGCTGCACTTGCATGTGACATTTTCCATCTTAGACCACTAACCATAAATCCTCAACTTATTTTACCAACTTCTTCTTTATTGGATGTAAACAAGGAAAGAAAAAGCCATTCAGCCTTCAGCCTCTCTCTTTAACCCATTCTCTACTCAGCAAATGGAACCTGTCGGCTTTACAGAGCCCAGAAGAAGTGATTCAAACTCTAAAACAATTTACAGCATTTCAGGTGCCATTTTATTTATTTGAAGATTTTGCCAAAGAAAAACATTTTCCACTACAGCCGCTCACACTTTGCAATTCAAGCTATTATTTTGCATAGCTAGCTATCAACTATGAGTAAGTAAATGTCCGGTGCATTTTCTTAATTACTAGTGTAGAGTTTGTGTGCTAATAAGGGAAATGAAATATAGTAGTAAGTGTTTGCGGTGTGCGTGTTATTGTGTTTTTAAAATGTGGAGTGTCAACGAGACAAGAACTTTGCATTTTTTTAAGTTGTTGATGTCTCTGAAAAGTAGGACCAGTGTATCACATAAAGTCACCACAGGAACAGGTTTGAACCCGGTCAAAGCGTTACGAAGTTGTCTGCCTTAAATCACTCAACTCCTCAACAGATTTCCAGCATGAGATGATCATCTTTCTGTCGACAATGATCATTCACCATTTTTTGCAACAATTTTTAAAGCTGCAATTCCAGCTTTTTAAGCACAAAGCATGAATAACGTTGTCTTTTATATTTATTCAATGAATTAGTTTCATGAATCCGTAGGTGACCAAGGATCTACTAACTTTAGCTACTTTCTAAAAATGTATTATTGTTGTCCCAATTTGAATTCATAGTTTTGTAAACAAGAAACTATAACTATTCTTATCACTAACGGTGTAACTTCTTTCTGAGCTGTGACAAAAACTGCACATTTTAATTTACCAAATAATTTTCCCATTAGTAATCTCTGGCTTAGTTGGTTAGTCGTCATAGTCATTAATAGAGTACATGTACGGGGTAGCAGTGCCTTTGTTAGCTTAATTTCTTTCCATCACAGCCTTTTATAACTTTGTAAAACCTGATGTCGTACATGAACACACTCTTTGGATTGCCCTGATGAGATCGTATTCTCCTGTTTTCAACACTAATGAAACAACAAATGTAACATCCTAGTATTTAAACTAATGTGTGTCAGTGCACATTCATGGCTGTCTTTGATAACTTGTCTGTTTATTATTTATATTTACTGCAAAATAAAGGGTGAATGTCCTCAAGTTGTTTTATGTGTTGAGTAATTTCACATCTTTTGCACAGTTAGAGTCAGGGTAGATTTGGAGTTTGTATTATTTGCTCAAGTTGTGACTGCACGAGTCAGCAGAGACAGTTTGTGTTAGATAATAGTTTTATTTGTTTTTAGTGAGGTTTTGAGTTGATATTAACTGATGTGAATCACTAATAAAGGTATGTTTAATACCTTTATGATATATATATATATATAAATAATTTGTGTGTTCTTTGTATTGTATCTGTAGGTACTTTGTTACTATAGCAGCCTTTTACAAAACAGTTTGTTCCAACTTCTTTAGTTAAACCCATGAATATTGACTAACTACTAGTATATTATTTTATTTTCCAACTTAAAATTCTGTTTAAATTCTGTGTGCGCTTACTTTACATATGGGTGAAGTAGCTAAGATATGCTTTTTGGAGTCAATCTTGGGAGCACTGTCTGCCACAGCACAACGTTACCATCGCATTATTAAATAATAACTGTAACAACACGTGATTCTATCACAACTGTTTAATTCAAAGAAAAGTCTTTGGCGGTCTGAGCCGCTGGGATCAGCGGACCAGCTCCCGTGCGCCCTCGGATCTAGCATAACCGTAACACCGCTCAGCAGACGGGCATGCTTACAGCAAACCTCCCCCATCCCCGCAAACACACTCCTCGGTGTTGTACGTGTGCCGTGTTTCCATTGGTTATCGGTAAGCGGAAGTTTAACAACAGACACGCCGGATAGACGTAACGCACCGAAATGAAAGTGAAAGTCAGCCGCCCAGAGGCTGTCCTGTGTTTGTGCTCGATCCTGTCGACATGAGCGCCTTACAGTTTAACAGCGTTTTGTTGGAGATCTCTAACGCCATGTCTGCTGATCAGCTGAATGAAATGAAGTTCCTGGTTCTACAAGAGATCGGGAAAAGAAATCTGGAAAAGATCGGCAGCGGCCGGGAACTCTTTCAGCTTTTCAGGGAAAGAGGCAAACTGTCAGAAGATAACACGGCCTTTCTTTCAAAGCTTCTCAGAGAAATTAAGCGACAAGATCTCTCGGACAAGATAGACAACTTCAGTATTCAGCCTGAAGCTGACGATGGCCTGAGTGAGGAGGAGAAAGGTACGACATGAACGTGTTCGTGTGAGCACAGTCACAGTGTGGGGAGACAAGAGCAACGATAACAACAGTAATAATAATGCACGTCTGCAGAGTATCGTGCTCCAAAGTATGGACGCTGATTTATACAGAAAACGAGTGACTTTCACTTTAGACACCAGCATGTTTGATTGTATCAACCGCAGACTCGAGAAACACGGCTGGAGCCTTCCTCATTTAGTGCCAAACATTCTTTTTAGGCAATAAAACATGTCGTCTCACAAGCTCCATTTGAGTTTTATACAGAGTGCCAAAGGATGCACTGGGTTCCTGTGACTGGGCAGAGTTAGCCATTTATTCTGTCTGAGCTTCCACCCATACTTAACACAGCTGACCACATCTGTGAAGTCGTCTGGTCATTGGAGGGTAAAGGATGCTGTCACAGTGCAGTATGAAAGCTGCTTTGTTTAGCAGTCACACACTTACTCCTGCCACCGATTGCAAAGAGAAAAAAGAGAAAATGAAAAGTTCTCAATCCTGAAATCTTTCGACCAAAAATGTTTTCAGAAGCCTGAGACACTGTTTTTGTGTCGTTCAGTATAAAATCACCCAAATGCCACAATAGTTTCCAGCTGACCTCAAAATCAAGTAATTGTTGTAATGTACAGTAACTTTAGCTTTTTGACGTATTTAACTACGTTTATGGTGTAATTAATCTTTATTTTTTAATTAAGACGTGCCAAAATCTTGTGTTCTTATTAGTAAAAAAGGCCCTGGATGTACCAGGACAATGTTTATCACGAGACTCTGCAGACTCACGATTCAGGGACTTGTGGAACCGTGTTCAGCAGCAATAACGTGAACGAATGGTTTTCTGTTTGACTTTCAGTGTTTCACATAATTGTAGAGGAAGTCTTCCCCACTCTTCTTAACAAAGGTTATGGAGGCATTAATTTACTCTTAGCTGTCCTAACGTCACACCACAATGTTTGTTAGTTAGGTCGAGGTCTGGACTTTGACTTTTTCAGTGTTTTTCTAACTACACTGACTTGAAATGTAACATTTTTCAGGCCTGTAGAGTGGGTTATGGTGTCTGTGATTTTGGGCTAGGACACACACAAATGATCAAAAAAGTTTTGGTTTTACAGCGTTTGTCACATCTGCTGTTAATCAATTAATCACATTTGATGAGCAGCACCTGTCTGCCACATGCCCTCTTAATTTTTATGAAATTGGTAAGGATGCACTTGTGCTAAAGACGTTTATGACACTACTACCTCAGGTTGTAGAGAGAAAGAAAACCCTACCTCACGACCGTCTAAGCGAAAGCATGTAACGACAGTGGGAAGGAAAAAATCTGGAGCAGAACCAGGCTCAGGGAGGGGCGGGGCCATCTGCCATGAACAGTTGGGGGTGAGTGGAGAGAGAAGAGAGCACAGACACACCGCTTAAAAGATGCTCATGGGAGAGAGCCAGAGTTTTAACCCTCTCAGGCCCAATTAAGTTTTTTGTTGCTAATGCACAACCAAGTCCTGCAGTGGTACTTCTGAGTAAAGCAACTCATAAAATATGTCTGTGGGGTGATCAGCTTGTTAGTTCTTTACGGTTGCAAATCTGCAGCGTCTGCCTGGAGAGAGTTAAAAACCTGCTGGGGGGAGTTTTTCCTTCCCACTGTCGTCACGTGCTTCTCTTAGAGGGTTGTGAGGTAGGGTTTTATCTCTACATACAACAAAGCAGATTTGCACTGTTGTATGTATAACCATAAATACATCAAGAATGTATTGTATTGTCTGCAGACTTATGCCGTCTGCAACAGTCATTGACTAGATAAGTGGAATTATAAGTAGGTCTTTACGCAGGGAGTTTTAGATAGGCTTGTTTCTAGTTGTCCCTGTTTGGGGCCATGTTTCATTGTTTCCTGGTAGGGTGTTTAGATGGCTGCCCTGGTTTCCAGAAAGTATCTTAAAGTTGGATCTTTACCCATATCAGAAAAATGTTCTATATTTAACCTGTTAATATGTTTTTCTCCTTTGCAGCAAAACTGAAAATTGCCACAGAGGTAATTGCCGAAAATCTTGGAAAGAGTTGGCGAAAACTAGGCCGCAAATTAGGTTTGAGTGAAACCAAGCTGGAGTCCATCTCTAACAGGCGTCCAACAGATCTCGAGGAGACGGCAGTGGAGCTGCTCAAGGAGTGGAGGAAGAGTCAAGGAGCTGAAGCCCAAACAAAGATGCTGATAGATGCTTTGAGAGCTTGCCAGTTGAATATGACTGCTGATAAAGTAGAGGAAAGACTCTAGCAACCTAGAATACACTCTTAAATTGAAAATTGTTGCTCAAGGAAATGGCAAACAAAAAGGTTAAAAGTCATGAAAGTAATTTGAGTGACTGATTGTATCTCTATGTCCTGTTATCGTTATTATTAGTTTGCTGTTTGGGTCTCCTGCTTTGTGAAAGCAATGTTGCTCTCAGTCTTTCAAGGTGACTAAATTGCTCGTGATATTTGTTAATATGGCTCATATATAAAAGTGTTCAACTGTATTGAGGTACAGGATCTTCTCATCAAGCGTTCCAAAATTATGAAAGATTTTTTTTTTTTTTTTTTTCTAAATGACATCAGAAACAGCAGTATGCGACATTACGTGATGGCAGAGCTTCAGTTCATCCTTTGTCATTTTTTTTTTTTTTTAATAAATAGGACAGGGGGAATGAATGAGAGAAAGAGGGGGAGAGAGAGAAAGAAAACCAAAGGGGAGAAGAGACGGTGAGAAGGGGGGGGAAAAATAAACAACTCCTGGGTCACCTGTATGGAAAAAAAAAAAACAAACAGAGGAGACAGCAAACAACTATGAAAGATATTTTTTATGTCACACTATTCATCCAAGATTTTGCTCTTGATTCACAATTTAGACGAAAAGGGAAATAATTAGGAAAAGAAGCTGATTTTGGAAAGTAAAAGGAGATTTGTGTTGTTGTTCTTTTTATTCTTTGTCAACAGACAGCTTTGTATTTCAATGCTTTTGCTCGTCTAACCCAAAATATACCCCGAATCCAACTCTTTTCCCTCGTAGGCTTTGATGTCATCAAGGTGGCAGGTCCTCTGCCCAGGGTGCAGTTTCTGCAGACAAAAATGAATCTCATTAAGGGAACCTTTCTGTAAGAACCAAAATGGGACGGACAGATGATAACTGTGACACGGTGGGAAGGAAATATTCCCTTTAGCAGGAGGAAGGCTCGGGGACTTACCTGTTGGGAGTGAGGGGAAAGAGAAAAGCAGAAGCACACAAAATAAAAGGCATGAGAGCCAGCGTTTAAAAGGAACGAATAATAATTCAATAGAGAGTGAAATGAGAAAGAAGAAACCACGCCCTAACTATATGCTTCAGCAAAAAAGAAAGTTTTAAGCCTAGTCTAAAGAAACCAGAGGGTGTCTGTCTCCCAAATCCAACCTGGGAGCCGTTTCCACAGAGGAGAGGCTCTGCCTCCCATTCTACTTTTAAATATCCTAGGAACCAAAAGTAAGCCCGCAGTCTTTTCTCACTCTTTTCTGATTACAGTACTATGAAGTCTTTAAGATAGGATGGGCCCCGATTATGCAAGTAGCATTTTAAATCGAATCTGCAAAGGAATGTTTGTAAAGTTAGAGATGTTGCACAAAATTAAGCAGAAGCGTCCAACTTTTCAGCTTTTCAGGGAGTTTTTAGGAAATCCTGATAATAATGAATTACAGTCGTCCACTCTAGAAGTAATAAATGCAGGAACTAGTTTTTCAGCTTCACTCTGCGGATGTTTTTTTTTATTTTAGAGATATTGCACAAATGGAAAGCAGTCCTACATATCTGTTTAATTTACACATTGAAGGACAAATCCTGGTCGAATATGATCTCACAGTGTTACTGTTGACGCCATCTAACGCAAATATCTGGTCAGACAGGATATTTCTTTGTGACTGTAGTTTAACAATGCCAGGATAATTAATAATAATAACTAAATGGTGTGTCTCATATTGTGTGGGATAGAAACAATTTCATGCTTAAAAACAACGAACCTTTGATTGGATGGTTCACCCTGATCTCCTTTCTGTGTAGCTACAGATGGTGCTAGCATATGAACATGAACTGATGCTAGTTTGGGTCACTTGCAGAAATCTGCATTTTCCTCTTTTGAGGAAATTCGGGGCAAACCTGCTGCAGGGCAGTTCAAAAAATCCATGCATGAGACTTATTTTCATTTTACATGATATCTACTTGACTTGGTCTGCTAAAGCTTTTTTTAATTTCACTTTAATGTTGGGATATATTTCTTACACAGAATGAAGACCCAGGTTCACCCCCAAAAACTAGAGCTGAAAGTGTAAGAGGAAGGGATTTCCATGCAAGAAGGGAGCTTTAAAGACCTCCAGACTTTGTCTTTTCAGACACAGTTTGTCATTTTAAAGTTAGCTGACTTTGCAGTACAGTATCACTTTGTGTGTTTGTTGTTGCAGTATACTTACAGCACTGGTAGAGTCTGTTCAACCTATCGATATCATTTTTGCTCATCTGAGTGGCCCCACCCAACATTACATTGCTATTAGGAATGGGCACCATAGTGGGTTGGTTGTTCTTGGAGAAGGCGTACCTGAAAACAAGTTAAGTTCATTTTTCTGGTGATTTAGCTCCTCAGTACATCATGTTCTAATCTTTGAAAGCATATTTGCACTGGTTTTACTCAACACACTTGTATAGGACGGTATGCACAGACAAGTTATGATTGTGCACAGGCTCTGCTCTGCTAGCAGTATGCTGCAGGGACAGTTGATGGTTTCTTCATGTGAAAATAATAGGAACACCCAAATTCCTAACTTGATACATAGTTTACTTGGACTTATGTGTAAAAAAAGTATAAAAGTAACATATGTAAATAAAAGTATGAATTTATTCTTACCTCTCATATTGCATGACAGAGTTGTAGTCATAAGGAGTTCCCTGGTTTAGAGTATCAATCTTATAGAAATTGTACACCATGTCTGTGAGAATAAGGAGATATGTTCATGATGTGTGGGAACTCAAATATCTAACAAATGCACATTTTTATATTATCATTTTAATAAAGCATCCATTGAACCTCATCCCATTTACGGTTGTTGTCATGAACTAATTTTAAGCTAAAAACTAAAATTATGTCTTAAAAAGTAAATCAAATCAATAAAAAATGAACTCCACTAACAATAAAAAATAACTAAAGATTTAAAGTAATAAAAACATGGTTGAAAGGGCTGCACCCACTCTGGAGATAACTAAGAGGCTCTAAGCGGTAAATTGATCAGTAACTATATAGCACTTGTCTGATTTAATTAAATGCTCAAAGTGCTTTTTACTATGAGTCTCATTAGCCCATTTACGGTGGGCTACAGCCACGGTGGGGTGGCTGTAGCTCAGGTGGCAGAGCAGGTCAGCCACTAATCAGAAGGTTGCTGGTTCCGTCCTTGGGCAAGATACTAACCCCGTGTTTGCCTACTGGTGGTGGTCAGAGGGCCCGGTGGCGCCGGCAGCCTCGCCTCTGTCAGTGCGCCCCAGGGTGGCTGTGGCTACAGTGTAGCTGCCATCACCAGTGTGTAAATGTGTGTGTGAATGGGTGGATGACTGGATATGTAAAGCGATTTGGGGTCCTTAGGGACTAGTAAAGCGCTATATAAATGCAGGCCATTTACACACACATTCATAAACAGCTTTATTCTAAAGTTGTATTCATCTTTGTTGACAGATTATGCTGTCATCTTTAGTTTTTTTTTTAAATTTTATTTACTGAACTTTAGCTCAGTGCAATAAAACCTTAATCTCAACCTTAATTAGACTATTTCTTTCTCTAGAACTGCTTTGTGCTTCGAACTACTTTAACACAAAATCCAAATTAGCACAGAAAATGGTGACTGACCATCGAGGATGTTTTCCCAGTACACCCTGATGTAGTTGTCCCTGTCAGAGCGGGTCTGTTCGTGATTGAAGCCTAGGGCATGGAGTAATTCATGCTGGACAGTGCTGTGGTAAAGACAGCCCTGACGGCTTAGAGACACAGTTTGACCACCGCCCTGGCGACCCACATAGGAGTAGCAGCTGTTAAAACAGAAAAGTCCAGCAATATTTAGAAATCACAAAAGCCTTTTGTATATCTGTAAGGCAAGTGCTGCTTTACACACCTCATAGGACAACAATAATGTATTTGAACATATGATGAATTATGTTGAATCCTTATTGTTTAAACTGGCCAGTAGTCACTCATTGGCTACTTAAAATATTAGTGGTCCCTAAAACATTTGTAATCACTTCCTTTGTAATACAGTGATTAAAGAATGGGTTTTCTTTCATTATAAACTAATGAAAGGAGGAGTTGTGATACTTTTAAATTAAAACAGAAAACTTACAATGTCCAGGTAAATTTTTAATCCTACTAACTGCATGTGGCTCACCGAAGGTGGTAAGAATAAAAAAAATGGTCAGACTCGGAGCTTTACCCATTTCTGGACTCGATGCTCAGCCACTCATGATCGCCATCCTGGTAGGGTCTGAAACGAATGCAGGAAACTGAAGAGAAGGACTCTAGTCCACGAGTGATGATGGCAATCTCACGGGAAGCTGGTAAAACATGGAATTATGTAGTAAACAAAAAAATGTGAAATAACTAAAAGCAAAGGGTGGCTGTTTCTTCAAAACAGCCACCCTTTGCTTTGATTACTGCTTTGCACACTCTTGGCATTCTCTCGATGAGAGAGGTAGTCACATAAAATGATTTTCCAACAGTCTTGAAAGAGTTCCCAGAAATGCTGAGCACTTGTTGACCCTTTTGCCTTCACTTTGTGGTCCTCATCCCCAAACATCTCCATTGGGTTTAGCTCAGGTGACTGTGGAAGCCCGGCCATCTGACGCAGCACTCCATCACTCTCCTTCTTGGTCAAATAGCCCTCACACTGCCTGGAAGTGTGTTTGGGGTCATTGTCCTGTTGAAAAATAAATGATGGTCTAACTAAATGCAAACCAGATGGGATGGCATGTTGCTGCAGGGTGCTGTGGTAGCCATGCTGGTTCCCAACAGTGTCACCAGCAAAGTACCCCCACACCATCACACCACCTCATCCATGCTTCACAGTGGGAACCATGCATGTAGAGACCATCTGTTGACCCAAACAAATCTCTTCTGCTTGTTGCTTTTCCTTAGTCGTGCTTTCTTAGCAGCTATTTGACCACAAAGGCCTGATTCGTGCAGTCTCCTTTGAACAGCTGATTAACTCTAACTAGAGGTGCTGTTAACTTGTGATTTCTGAGGCTGATGACTCTTGGTCTTCCTTTCCTGGGGTGGTCCTCGTGTGAGCCAGTTTCATCGTACCATTTGATGGTTTTTGCTACTGCACTTGGGGACACATTCAATCTTTTAGCAATTTTCCAGACTGACTGACCTTAGTTCTTAAAGTAATGATGGACTGTGGTTTCTCTTTCCTTAGCTGATTGGTTCTTGCCATAATATGAATTCTAGCAGTTTAGCACAACACATCTGATGGTCCCAACCCCATTAAGAAGGCAAGAAATTCCACAAATGAACCCTGACAGGCTCACCTGTGAAGGGAAAACCGTTTCAGGTGACTACATCATAAAGCTCATCGAGATATGGCCAAGGGTTTGCAGCGCTGTCAACAAAGCAAAGGGTGGCTACTTTCAGCAATCTAAGATATAATAAATATTTAGTTATTTATCAACTTTTTCTTTGCTACATAATTTCGTATGTCTTGCTTCATATATTTGATGTCTTCAGTATGTATGTACAATGTAGAATGTAGTAAAAATAAAGAAAAAACGTTAAATGAGAAGGTGTGTCCAACCTTTTAACTGGTGCATATGTCAGGTTATTGATTCAGGAAAGTGCTTGTGGTATATTCATGTATTAATTCTTAAAATGAAGATTAGTTGGTATCAAAGGGCAGAGTCTGAAAGTCATTAGATTTAATACAAATAGAGATGTTATAATAACAAGTCAGTGTAAAGATGAATTGTTGTCCACCAGGCATAAACACTGTACATAACTTGGCATTGGCCTGTTCCATGATTAAGAAAACAATACTTACAGTAGTGATTGGCAATGTAGTATGGGACATAGACTTTCCCATCAGTCCACTTTCCCCACATACAGCCTCTGGAGGTGCAGGGGTCAGCATTTCTGTCAGCTTCAGACTTGATAGCAACGTCACCTCCGATTAATGTCGGCTCATCAATGTCAGGTGCTGTAAGAAAAACAGAGTCATGTCCTTGTCTTCAACATGCAGAATAGCAGTGGTTTATTATAGGTGGCACTGCCGTCATCAGCCATGCAATTCATACATCAGTCATAACAACTGATGAAAGTTCATATTAGCAGAACTAGGCCACCTCTCATGACAAATGACAAAGACCAGATTCAAATGCAAATGTTTAGAAAAACCGATAAAATGCATTTTTACTGGAAAAATCACAACATTGTACGTGGCCCCAGTCTAGGGCGTAATTAAAATAGCCAGTCCAGAGCCATTTTGCTTGTCTATTATTAGCACTTGTGATCTGGATCATGTGTAGACCTGAAGCTGCTAAAAAAAGCTTTTTCCTTTAAAAGTCATGTAACATAAAAAGTACAAATTTTGGTCAGTGTTGTTTCCCAGAATAGCTACACATTTTGCATGGAAAGTTTAGTGGCTGTAATTTGCTTTGTATGAGGAAAGATTATGCACTCGGTGGCATAGCTGAGTTAGATTTGGATCTAGTTCTCCATTGTTATTGGTTCAGTTTTTGTTTGTATGAAAATGAGCTGTAGCTGGATGCGCCTTAAATTTCTTGTTCAGGAGTATGTCTTCCTGTGCCTATTATGATGACAACATAAGTTATAGCTATATATAGTACACAGTTTAATATTTGCTTGACCGATAATTCAGTGTGGAGTGAATTACCAGTTAAACAGGAAAAGACTATCAAACTACGTTAAATCCACGTTGCTAACATCCCCACTTCTGTACCACCAATGCTGCTGCAACAAATATGTGCAAGTAAGTTCTAAAACAGGTAACCAACTTACTGTAGTTTCTATTGGCTCTCTCCAGCAGCTGACCTACAGAGAGCTCTCTGGGTATGTCCTCGTCAGTGCTAGGAATCTCTGCATAAGATAAAATATTCACAGTAGACATGATCATTTTGAACACCAGCTCAGTTACAGCTGGATAGCTTTTACTTCAAATGGACTGACTGTTGCTTAACTTTCTTTTAATTGATATCCAATAGCACAAAAAGTAGAATTTTAAAACCTGTAATAAATCTTCCCTTACTGGTGACTTTTGAATTATATCATAAAAAGCAATTATTTGTTTCTTACCTTCCTGTACTCAGCCACAGCAACATTACAAAGAACAGACAAAAGAGACATTAGTTTGTAACTGTAACTGAAAAGCAAAGAGACAACGGAAAATTAAAACAACTGAAATATGCATTTCATAATGAAATAAACACGACTAACAAAACTCTCATTATAAAACTGATACAACTCTTTGTACCAATTATTTCTTTAATAGCATTTTTTATTTCAAATGTAATACTTTTTTGCATCAGGGGGAATTTGGCCTACACACAATTTAATTTAACACGCATGGTTGTCTCTGGAAGTTTCTACCTGAGCCCAGGAAGAGGATAGCAGCAGCAGAGTGACAAGAGACCAACAGAAAACCAACATGGCTGCAAAAGATTTGTGATATAGACCACATTATTGTATGTTATCAAGCAGCATAGCTCATGCACATTAAAGTACTTAAAATGCAAAATTTCAAGGATATCAGAAAATTTGCATGTGAACGATGGAGTTTGCGGTGATGACAGAAGACCTGTCTTACCTGAAACGCTGATGAGTGAGCGTCTTTCTGTCAAGTTTTATACTGTTCCCTGGCTCGCCAAAGATAACAGGATGTGTCGAAAGGTGCAAACACAAGAGAAAGTGTTATCACTGCAGATGGAAAACTGTGAGTCATTGCAACTGGTGTGAAACTTTGCATCTGTCACAGGTTTAGTGTACACGCGTGTCATAAGAGCATGAAGTATTCAGATACATATATATACATCATACACACACACACATATGTATGTAGTGTTTTTCATTTTATGTCATAATGTAAGTTACTGTACTAACTAGAAAAAAAGAACATTTGAGAAAACGTTGTGGAGCATGCTAATATTCCTAAAGATACATTTTCTTCAAAAGTCTAATAACCCACAGTCTGTATTTACAGGGGTGGCTGTAGCTCAGGTGGCAGAGCAGGTCAGCCACTAATCAGAAGGTCGCTGGTTCCGTCCTTGGGCAAGATACTAACCCCGTGTTTGCCTACTGGTGGTGGTCAGAGGGCCCGGTGGCGCCGGCAGCCTCGCCTCTGTCAGTGCGCCCCAGGGTGGCTGTGGCTACAATGTAGCTGCCATCACCAGTGTGTAAATGTGTGTGTGACTGAATGTAGTGTGAAGCGCCTTGGGGTCCTTAGGGTCTAGCAAAGCACTATACAAATGCAGGCCATTTATTAATGTTAATATTAAGGACCTCAATTAACAATATTCATTGAACCTGACAAGCTTTAATAAATCCTTATAGCATTTTCTCAACTTCTGATGTCTGCAGAATTTTTTAATTCTAGCCCATTCCTCGTGCCAAAAGCTGTCAGCTCAGTTTGTATTCTGTGCTGTGACTGTTTGTATAAAACGGCTGAATGTGAGTCAATTCAGGAAAATACATTTAAAAAACAAGCAGAAAAGTGGACACCATGAGAGGCTTAACTGGTAGTTGGAATGTTGAACTTACAGGTGAAAAACATGGTTTACCAAGGATGCCATCACCATCCCTACAAACCTGCACAAAATACTTCCAGTGCTTTTGACCGTGTATGACAAAAATGCTGCAAAGAAATACTATTTTCTCAGCTTACATGCATGTAATACCGTTGAAGGTACTGCAGACACAAGTATTTCCACATAGAAATCACTCATAATTCAACTTTGTATTTATTTATCTTTTTGTGGTACAGAGAGCAGATTTCTCCCATATTAGCTTCTCTTCATCAGCTTCCTGTTAAATACAGATTTGAATTTAAAATGTTTCTCACTACTTACAAGTTTTTTGAATAATCAGACCAAATCTTATCTTACTTGCGGTTCCTGGACTATTTAAAAGTAGAATGGGAGGCAGAGCCTTCATCATTCAGGCCCCTCTTCTGTGGAAGCAGCTTCCAGGTTGGATTCAGGGGACAGAATAGCCTCTCTTCTTTTTCAACATTGATCTTAAATCTTTCCTTTTTGCTAAAGCATATAGTTAGGGCTGGATCAGGTGACCCTGAATCCTCCCTTAGTTATGCTGCAATAGGTCTAGACTGATGAGGGATTCCCGTGATGCATTGAGTGGTTTTTCTTCTCTCACACTTTTCTCACTCACTATGTGTTAATATACCTCTCTGTATTTAATTATTAGTTGTTATTAATCATCCACATTAATTATCCACAGTTTCTCTTTTGTCCTGTTTTCTTCCCCTCATCCCCAACCATCCACAGATGGCCTGTCCTCCCTAAGCCTGATTGTGCTGAAGGTTTCTTCCTATTTAACTGGAGTTTTTTCTTTCCACTGTCACCCAAGTGCCTGCTAACAGGGGGTCGTCTGACTGTTGGGGTTTCTCTGTATTATTATAGGATCTTTACTGTTACAATATAAAGCACCTTCAGGCAACTGTTCTTACATTAAAACATTTATAAAATTGAATTTAATTGGTTTGTAAATGTTTGGACCACTGTTAGTAAACAGTACTTTATAGCTTGACGCAGCATGGTACCCAACTGCATTAGACAGGTAGCACAATTTAGTGATGACTCTAAATTCTTTGCTGGTATTAATGAGTGTTTTCGCTTTATTCTCTGTGTTGTTAATGTGATGGCCTGTCCACTCCACCTCTTCTCCATCCTATGACAGATGCTATCATAGTGGTGTCACTGCACAGGAAGAATGTTCTGGATTGAGGTCTCCCAGTAGGCTAGGGTTTACGTGTGGAGTTTGCATGTTTTCAACATACCTGTGCAGGTCCTTGACCTTCCTCAAAAGATGTGCTCATAGGGTAAAATGTTGCCTATAGTATAAATCCATTTCCATCTATTATTATTGTCAAGCACATGTATTTAGGTGTTTTTGTAAGTGATGGGATATTTTTGACTATTCTTCTACAGCATGGTTAGACCTAAAGTAATACAGGCAAATAATTCACTGACATTTCTAAAAAGCAAAAGTAAGAATCACCCTGCATATAAATGTGTTGAGACGCTGGAGTTTGATCATCTGTTAGTCTGTCTGAGAAAAAAAACATCCGCTGTTCTTATCAGCGTGAGATATTCAACATATTGCTGTCAATACAGCCTGACCTTGTCACAGTGAACAAGGCCAGGCATCATATTGACAGCAGTATGTTAACTCAGCAGATTCTATAGTGGGAAATGCCAATTCCATCCAATTTTTCAACAAATTAATTAGCACAAAGAAAGCCTGTCCTCACTGTACCTGAGAAATATTCAGGTTGAAAATCTTTACTCACACTGTGTAATTTGTTAAGACATAAAACAAATCATCAAGCTGCATTTATTAGTTCCAGGCTCGACTACTGTAATTCAAAAGCTGCAGCAAGAGTACTGACAGGGCTAGAGATGAGTGAGACGACACAAGAAGAAGGCACATAGTTTCAGTGTACCTGGGGAACATCACAGTTCAGCTCAGCCCAGTTTTTTAGTGGCATCCTCCCAATTTAAATATGATTGTTATTTGCAATGGAAATTACACATATTACACATTTTGAAGTAACAAAAAATAGAATTTTAAGTATTTTAAGCGCTTTTTTTCATATGATGTGTTTCATCGTGCCTAATAAGAACACAAACACCAACAGTTACTACACGACTGAAACTCAAACTGAAAAACGAGCAAAAGATTCATTTTCAAATATACTGAGAGCTCTCCAAGTGAGAGCTACTGCAGGACAGGGCAGAATAGAAAAAGGAAAAGAAAGAAAGTTCACTTTGCTTGAAATCCAAGTTCATCTTGCTTTTACCAGCCAGCTGTCCACATGGTGACACAGCTAGCTAAGTATGTGGACAATGTCAGTTTTGCAATTTCCTCCAGTATTAACTGTATTACATTGACTCTTTAGGAACTGTATGGATAATATTATAAGTCCAGGGCAAGAAAAAACATAATTCGAGCAAATCATTTCATTGCATTTAAATTTACTTGTGCATAAAATCAACAACGCCCACACGCAGAACTCAGCAGCCACACGTGTTACTTTAATGTTGAAGAAATATTTAAATCAGAGGATTCTTTGGCAGGTTCTGAAGTATTGTTGTCCCAATAATCTGTGCACAGTATCACATAGCTTCTATGATCTAAACAAGTCATCATACTAAGAAGCACGCATCATTATGCTGTGTAAATAACTGTATTACACACCATAGCTGCTGCGTGCTATATGTGCTTCATGCTTTGTGGTGATTGTGACTTTCTGATTTCTTAGCTGAAGTCATGCCTAAATATGGTCACGTCTTTATTGTTGGAGATCCATGTGTGTTGTCCTGATAAACAAAGAGATTCTTTTAATCTTACACAGTGGGTGGCTGGACGGACCTACACAAGTACGTGGACATACATTGGACCTTGTTTCAGCCTATGGCCTGCCTCTTTCTAACTTGACAACTTGATGATTTTAGATGCAATGTCTACAGATCATAAGCCTGTGTTCTTTGACATTGTATTGTCCATGAGGTGCATTAAGAACCACGCTCCTGCATGGCATTGTCACAGCCACTGCAGCGCAGTTTTCAGTTCTCTTACATCAGACTTAGATAAACTCTGCCTCAGAGGCGCTCAGCTGCTGGTTCCAGACAACTCGGCTGGATTTCTATAACTCATTGTACCTTGGTATCATTGTCACATCTTCAGCTCGTGGCTGCCACACGGCTTTAAACTGCTACAAGGAGAAGGGAGCATATTACTCCCGCTTTATCCTCACTCACTGGCCGCCTGTCACTCCGGTCCTGGACTTGAAGACCACAGGGTACACCACACATCTATCTGCCGCCTGTTGTCAATGATCAATTTCTTTTCATCTTTTTTTGATAAGTTTAATATTTGTTTATTAAAAATCTTAATTGAGTTCATGAAGAGACTAGCAAGAACAATAGTAAAGAGCTGTTTCTGCTCTTACTTAGATCTGTGGTTATTAGTAAGGTTATTGTTCAATGTCTTAATGAACAGTGAACAAAAGCTCTGATCAAATGCGGATGAGGTACTGGTTGTTATGTTATTTTCTTTTCAGTGAACCCGCCCCCCAACAAATACAATTAGAGATACAAATACCGGCTGCTTTGCACATCTCTAATGTAAGCATTAATCGGTGCTACACATCAGTCTTGAGGTTTTGACTTTTTGAAAAGTTTGCCAGTGTAACTACAGCTGTTATTTCTAATGTGCTGCAGTGGATGTATTGATTTATCACTAAGCGTCACTTTAACACTGAAAAACTTCTTAAAAAACGTCGTATTTTGGCGTCCAGTCATGTATGTGCAGTTACATGTGTTTGCTGCAGATTGAGCAACTTTGGCAGTATTTTGGCCAGATTCTGATAAATACTTCCATTCCTGATTCCCGTTAAGAGATTTTGGGGATGTTTCTTTTTTTAGTTTTTAAATCATAGAAGCAATGTAATACTGTACAAAAGATTAATGAGACGGCAGTATTTCAGAATGTGCCTCAGAATCCTGATTTAGATATTTTCAAAACATTGAAGTAATCCAGTGACAGCTGTCTGCATTTCCACTGCTGCACAGCAAATATCAACGGTTGATAATTAATTCAGCAAACTTTATTTCTCAAATTGTAAACAAATGCA